GCCTCGTAGCTTATCTTGCGATGCGAACGACGAATCGTGCTCCGGCTCTCCGTGTTCCGCGTTCTCGTACGCCTTCTCTCGATCGCAAGATTCGACTGGAAGGTTTTGTACATACGGATGACGTGCGGGTGGCTCATATCGAGCTATGCAAAGTTACGCCATCATGTCGGGCGCAGGAATAGACGTACGAGGCGTAAAAAAGAGAGAGAGGAGAGAGTGTGAGAGAGAGAGAGAGAGAGAGAGAGCGGGGGGGGGGAAGCGTGCGAGTATCGGTTCAGTTTCTGATGCTTGTCGCGAAGGAGAGTCCACGAGACTCGAAATAACGATAAATCTCTTCGCAGTCGTAGACTGCCGCGCGTTCCGGGTTAATTCGCTTCGAATCGATAAACAAGAAATTGAACGTGACGTGAATTGCGGATTATATGCACGACTGTATGCTCTTGTCCTTTAAGGATAAGATCAAAGATCTTCTCTCTCCCTTATTACGCGTGTGCAGAAAGCACACAGACAGGGACAAATCAATTCCGTGTGTACACCAGTTCACTTTTTTAAATAGCGAGCGTTTTCTCTCCTGACGCATTGGCGACGTTCTCCCGTTGTATTGGCAATAGCTAGATAAGTGAAACCTACACATTGATCAACGTTTCTCATAAATTTCCTCACGGAGAAAAATATTTGTGTGAATGAAACAATTTTCTGCTGAAGTACGAACGTTTCGAAAATTTCGGCTGAAGTTACCAGAAGTCGATCTAAATCGTTAAGATTTCTTCAAGATCAACTTAAACAGAGCATCCTGGTGTTTTCAGTTGGAATTTATGAATCGTTCATATTGCATCAGGAAATTGGCTCATCCGGCCAAACATTTTTTTCTCCCTTCTCTTTCCAAATTAATATGAAAACAATTCAAAAAAGAGTCGTTGATTTACAAGCTTAAATTTCTTCCACTCATCTTCTTGTAATTGATATTTTTATATTTCTCCCTTTGTAATATTCTTCAAATGCTCGCGTAACAGACTTTAATCTGTTATCGGCGCAATTATCATTTTTCGTTTTATCGGCAGCAATTTAATAACGAAATTATCTAATGAGAATTTAATGCGTTCGACATGAAAGAGAAATGCAACACGCTGCGTCATTCTCTCACTCGTAATCCAAACAGAGCTGTACTTGAACGTTATTAAAGTCTTTCTGCTTGATAAAAGTCGAGTCAGTTTGAACGGTGAACGAGGCAAACGGCAATTTCACTCGAGTATAAAAAAAAAAAAGCGTTTACTTTCCGGTAAAGTGACGCTTTTATTTCCTGCTCGACCCGATCTTTACGAGAAACTCGAAATCATACACGGGGATTCGACATTGATAAAACAGCAAATAGGGTTTCGAGAAAAACAAGAATAGTCAAGCGCGCGTGCTGATAGTTTTCACTTTAAATTGAAATCTCTTCAATTTTTTAATTTCTTCTCCAATAGCACTTTTCAATTTGCTCCACAAAGACTGAAAGTGATACCTTGATATTGCATTTTTCACTCGAATCGCGTCCTTTGTCTTCTTTTTCTTCTGTTATCTTTTTTATTGTGACTGGCAACGATCAAATTGTAATAACAGTACCTTTTCTTTTATAGAAGTTTATTATTTTTATCGTCATCGCTTACTTTTTCTTTCGCGATCATATTTTCGATGGGATACCGTTTCATTCCAAGAGTTTCTTTCGATCGCTTTTCTCTCACTCCCAGTGTATCATTTACGGTTTCTCAGTATCACGAGATGTAATAAATTCCATGTATACGATAATCTCGAGAGAAAGAAATGTTGCCCTCAATCGTCGCGGCCAGACCGTGTAAATGAAAAAGAGAGATAGAGAGAGAGAGAGAGAGAGAGAGAGAGAGAGAGAGAGAGAGAGAGAGAGAGAGAGAGAGAGGGAGGGAGAGAGAGAAGAGAAAAGGAAAATCTCCATCTTCCCCGCTACATGTATACCAAAGAAAATGTGAGGAGTTTTGGTTTCAGATGTCAAATCCCGATACGCTACGGGCTAAGCATAATTTATATGTACCATACGTCCTCGGAGGATCGAGCAGAAACGCCGAGAAATACCTCGGAGCGAACCCACGCCGCGAGCGATGGCGTCCTTATAGGAGTAGGTGGATTTCCGCCCTACCGCCCGGTTTTCTTCGTTCGCTTAGGTTCTTCGTTAGCGGTTTCGAGGGCGAAGTGCCGTGGAGTTAGCTAATTGGTTGAACGCCTCCGGCGGCTACTCTCTGAATCCATGAGATATCCCAAATCCTTCCCCAACCGCGCGCGCTGCCCCTACCTTACCCGCCCGCGCCCCGTTCCCCCTTATTTTCCCCTTGTCCCGGTCCAATCCCTGCCCCATTTCGCATCTATATCTCTCGGTATCTCGAAAGACGTAAGGAGGAAGAAGAAGGCTATATAACTATATACTTTCTGCGAGATTACGAAATCGCGTTTTCGGCGTGCGCACGCGAATCCGGGTCTACGGGAAAGCCGGAAACGTTTCGGGAACGTCGCCGAGCGAGTTTATCGTGGAAAGTTTTCGCCGCTTGTGTCCGAGGATAAGAACGAAATCCGAGATCTCGCGCGGTGACAATGAAGACTTCTCTATTCGATATCTCACCGTCGGGTAATATACTGCCGCCAATTTCGCCGCCGAGAATTGCCGTAAGATATCGCGAACGACCCTAAGTTGCTGCAGTAAATATCGGCGACGTTATCTATTGCGGCATCGATGCGTAGATATCGATCTATACGTTCTGGGATATTATGGTGGAATTTGCGATATCTTCCTAGAGATGCCCCAACTTCGTTTGCGCGCATGTTAATGCCGAATTATGTTTCTTCTCGTATCTCCCTCCATCCCGTATCTCTGTGTGACGTGGGCGAGACGATTTTTTTTTTTTATTTCGATGCGTGGGATAAATAAAAGCTGACAATTGGCAGCTCCCGTCGGTGGGAAATCCCCGAGTTATTATTAATGGCAATTTTATCGTTACTGCTCAAAGCTCGTTGATTAAAACTTGAATTAAAGCTTGGTCGTAAAGAAATACAAAATTCGAAGAAAAAAATCTTTATGGGATAAAATGTCCATATTTTGAATTATTACTTCTCAAACGTCGAGAACAGTATCGAGCAACCCTGTTAAAACTCGTTGTGAAAGAAAACCAGGTTGAAATTTTTCAGAAGGTTTACAATGGGGGAAAGGAACGTGTGCTCGTGCGGTTACAACTACATTCCGCAGTTGCGGTCGGGCAGAATCGACAGGACATTTGCGAAGAAGAATCGTCGCGAGCCGTATCGCCGCGTTCTTACGAAAAATGTAAGTGACAGCACGTAGATTCCGACGTATTTCTTCCCGGTTACGTTTCACTGTTTCTTAATTCTTAACCGACCGGAATGCGCGCGCGAGTAAAAAATACACAAGAGCGCGGGCGCGAGCGGCGCGAAAAGTATTTATCGCTACGTACGCATATCGATCGTACGGCTGCGCGAATGATATTATCGCCAATATTCGCGGCAGCCGTCGTCGGATTTTCCGATGAAAGTACCGTCCCGAAAGAACCGTGTCCGTTTTAATCGAAATGCGATGCACGCATTCGTGTAATTTCGTAATCACCTCACATAGCGGCGGCAGCAAGGGCAGCCGTAGTGGCGGCGAGGGACGGCTAGGCTAAATTGAAAAACACAACTCTCGGTTCAATCTACGCTAAAAACCGGCGAGCATAAAGTTTCGCCGTCGCGAGAATGATGCGATAAACGGTTGCGCGCTACCGCGCAAAGCTCCGGCGTTAACGCGTTTAAATGTTTTGACGATAATCTGCATAACGCACGACGATATCGAAGCGAAAGTTCAAAAGCTCAAAAGGGAGAGGATGGTGCACGCGCGCGCTGTAACGGGTATAATTACTGCGAATTGATTGCCGCGCGGAAATAACTGGGACCGTTTATAAATTCAATGTGAATATTCATCGCGGGTATTTATGTTGCGAGGAATTGCAGCTGCTAATTGAATGCAACTTTCGTGTGTCAATTTTTTGCACGATTATGAAATAAACATAACCGTGTTCGGCAAGGATCACAATCGATGTTTTCACGTCGGGGCTAATTCCCAGCGTTGTCGAAGGACGCGGAAGAATAAATTTCACACGCACCGATTTTTTTTTTTTAATATTTTGTCCGGTTGCAGCATTGAAATTTTGGCATGGATAAATATTGCGTCATTATGTAAGTGCGCATCGATAAGCCCATGTTTCAGATATCGCCAATTATTCACCGCATTTTCATTCAAATGCAAATGTTCAGAAGCAACACGTTTCAAACAGACAAGTTTTCTTAATTCTGACCTGTTTCGTATTTGCAGAGGAAGTTGTGTTATTTCTGTGGTTGATTGTACCTCGTTGTCCCGTACGATATGTTGGAAAGAGGAGCGTTCGTTAAAATAATCGAACTGACCTGTTAACCGACCTGTTAAACGAAATGCATCCTTTATACGTGCGTACTTCTTTTCAGATCGATGTTGGCGCGCAGTTTGTTGGTTAAAAGAACTTTTATTTCTTATTGGTAAATAAAAGCGAGAAATTACCTGTCGAGTATATCGCGCGCGGTCCTGTTCGAAGCACAGTCAGAGAGTAGAAAGGGTTTTTCTAATCGCTTGTATCACGACCACGTCCTCTCGTTGCAGCTGGTGGCGACTCGTAGCAGGGAATTACTGAAACTACCAAGTTACCGAGCTGAGGCTTGAATCTAGATACCTATTCAAAACTTGAATCGTTTTCCACTGACTCAAACTCCATCTAACTTCATCTAACCGAGATTCGAACCCGTTTGGAGCAAGAAATCTTTCTGTGACACTGCCAGATAGTGCGTTTAGTTGTATTACCGACGAGGTATTCCATATCTGTTACCATTTATGCTTATTTCAAGCTGCAACTTCATATTCTAGCCATGATACTCGTAAGAGGGCGCTAATGTAAAGCAAGATGGTAAGACCAACAGTCTTTGTTAATATGTCATCAGTGTCTATACTGTCTACAGCATTGTAGCTTGGAATCTCCGGATAATTTTGTGTCATACGAGGATAAACAAAAGTATATTCAATAGAAAACTCTCTGTAAATATTTCATTATAATAACGAGAATGTTATATCTCACAATTTTCGTTTGGAGTATTTTAGTGTGCCAAGGTATAATGTTTTATCTTGATGCAACAGGGCGTGGCTGAAACGTGTTTGCTGCTTTGGTTTAACAACATTCAAATTGCAGGAAACACTTTGTACTGTTATAGATGTAACAGTAATCATCCCGGCTGCGGGACACCTTTAAATTGGTTATGGTATTGGGGAGAGACTTGTCCAGAGTATGATGACAAGTGTGTAAAGATAATCGAGCGTAAAGGAGGTAATGACTCATGTTGTGTACAATGATTATTTTTCAACATCTTTGATTGATTCCTTTAAAATTATATCAACATATAACTAAACTTTTTCAGCTGAGACAGTCATTACACGTGAATGTTTGAGTTCTGTACGTAGCTTCAGAACAGATATTCCTGCTGATCATTATGAAGGTTGTAGACCTGCTGCTAAAGATGTGCGATTGGGGCATTATGTCAATAACACCATTCACCAGTTAGATATTCACCGTGATTATTACGATGAGGTTACATGGTGTTTCTGTTATTTTGATCACAGATGTAATAGCGCAGGGAATATTGCTGTTTCGATGCTACTTGTATTTCTAGGAACTCTTACGTACTATTTTACATCTTGAAAATGAATTTCAAACAATTTTCGCCAAATATCTCTTGCAGAATCTCATATTTACTTTTTATACTTATGTAGAATTAAAATTAACTATTTGGCATATCAATTTTATTGATTTAGATTATATATGAACTTATAGATCTGTTATAATTTTGATTATAAAGAACATGCATCTATAGCACTTAAAAAGTTAATAATATTGAAGTGCATTATGTACAATTAACATGAGTTAAAATACATATAAGATAATAGACTATATATAGATTAAATATTTTGTATTAATATAACTAGTATAAAATTCAGTATATCAAAATTCTAAAATTGTGAATTTTGAACATAAGTTTTTTGACATCGTTTCTGATATTACCAGATCTTGTGTATGTTTTCAATGTTTATGTAAGTTTTAGTCATTTAAAGATAAATGAATATATCCCTATATGTTCATATATAATTTTATTGATATGCCAATAAAAAATTAACTATTTGGTATATCAATTTTATTGATTATAGTATATAATTTTAGATTATATATGAACATATAGGGATATATTAATTTATCTTTAAATGACTAAAACTTACATAAACATTGAAAACATACACAAGATCTGATAATGTCAGAAACGATGTCAAAAAACTTAATTTAATATAACTTATGTTCAAAATTCACAACAATTTTAGAATTTTAATATACTGAATATTTATACACGTTATAATAATACAATATATTTAACCTATATATAGTCTATTGTTTTATAAATATATATTTTAACTCACGTTAATTGTACATAATGCACTTCAATATTATTAACTTTCTAAGTGCTATGGATGCATATATGTTCTCTATAAATTTCTTCTACTTATACTTTCGACACACATCAATTGTGATGCATATATCAATGACTGTAACAAGAAACATTTCATTTGGCTTAGCTGATGATGCTTTCGATCTTTGAAAAATTATTTTTCTTTTATCAATTAATTTACGACAATACAAGGTATTCAGTCCTCAACAATTGTTTAGGTTTGGGACATTCCGCATCCGAAATGTTAATATACACTTACATAGAATCGTATAAATTTATATGTTAACATATACATAGTATTTTCTAAAAAGAGATTATTACACATCGCACAGCCGTCCATTAATATAATAGGTGAAAAATAATAAAATACATATAAAATAACTATATGTATAACGTATGTTATATAAGATTGCATTAAACATTAAGCTTAATATGCTATAGCTATTATATGTGTAAGTATTATTAAATAAGTATTTTTACAAAAAGAAAGTTAATAAATATCGCACAGCCGTCCATTCATGCAATTATACGACTTTATGTAAAAGGAAAGTTATAGTTCATTTTAATCTTTAGAATCTCTACATAATATAGTACAAATTTGTTCTTTCTACATTATTGTACATACACATTTTATTATTATGCTTTTATGCTTTTATGCTATTATGCTTTTATATCGAATATTTTTATAAATTTATAATACCATAATATAAAAAATGTATAAAGTATATATATTGCCTACATAATTCATTCCCCTCAAACAACGTGTGGAATATTTGGGAAATTCATTTCCCAAATAATGTGTTACGAATATTTTGCAGAAAATATTTGCAAATAAGAGAACCACACCCTTAGCAAATCAGAGTTTTCAAATAATTTATTTATATATCGATTATATAGATGTTTTCTATACGCAGATGTTAATTTTTTTGAGAAGTCTATTTAAATTTTAACCATATGCAGATTTTCTATCTGTTTTTTATCAGTTTTTCATCGCTATTAATTTTATTAAACGAGGAGCGCATGTGAAAGAGCACAAAGACTATAATCATTACATGTTATTTTGTTTGGTATATGCTTCTTTAAAATATATAAAAGCTTTCTCTATCGTCTGTAGCGTATCGCCTATGAAAGAAAATTAACGGGTAAGAATAGATGAATAATTTAAATGACGTTTCAGTACAGACAGTAATTGCGATATTCTTTCCCGTGGTATTCACCGCCGCCCATCGGGAAGGATTTCACCGTAAAATGGAAACTTCCCAGCACACATTATAGCATATTACATATATATATATATATATATATATATATATATATAATGTGAAGATATATTTTTTAATTATTATATCAATTAATATTTTATTGTTATTGAACCTTATATCAAAGTAAATTGTTCGAATCATTGAAAAGAATTTTAAGTTTTTCTATATATTAAAATATCAAGATGAAATTACTGAAAATACGAAAATGACGTACACAGGGTGTCCTATTTTAATGTCCTACCCCAAATAACTCTTCAGTATTGAAGTTTCAAGGAAAATGATCTGAATAAAAGTTGTAGGAATTAAAGTGAGCTACCTTATAATGACCTTGACTTTGACCTTGACCTCTATTTTCAAGGTCATTTGAAGGTCAACTTGCGTTTTTTTAATGGGAACCCTTCTTTTTTATTACACTGTTTTCTTCTATTAGTTAATTTGAACAACTTTTGTCTAAAATATTTTTTTATTTATCTAATATTTTTGGAGATATTTGAGGAAAACTTGATAACTTTTTCAGTATTTAATTTACGATATCTGTAATATTTTGGAAGAAATTACTAAACTTTCTGTTAAGTTCAAGAATATGTTAAAGGCCGCTTTGTTAACATATTTTTGGAAATTAAAATATCAAAAATAAAATCAGAACTTTTCTTCCGACAAATAATTAGCGAGATATCGTAAGTTAAATATTGAAAAAGTTATCAAGTTTTCCTCAAACATCTCGAAAAATATTAGACAAATAAAAAAATGTTTTAGACAAAAATTAACTAGTAGAAAAAAACAGTGTAATAAAAAATAAAGGTTCCCATTTAAAAAACGCAATTTGACCTTCAAATGACTTTGAAAATAGAGATCAAGATCAAAATCAAGGTTATCATAAGGTAGCTAATTTAAATCCCTACAACTTTTATTGAGATTATTTTCCTTGAAACTTCAATACTGAAGAGTTATTTGGGGTGGGACATTAAAATGGAACACCCTGAATATGCTTGCGCCTTTACGTTATTGTATCATACCGAATTACAGCTATTATAGTGACTTTAAAATAGCTTGAACATTTAACAAAATCTGTCATTAAAAAGTCGCGCGATGTTAGTGGCATAATCTATATGCGAGTATATCTTACCAAATTACGAGATCACTTGGGGGAGATTTTAAGATAGTATTTAATCTAAATAAGCTGTTAATATAATAATTTAGTAATTTATATGATACAGTGCAGAGAACTCTTCTTTATCAAAACTCGCCGAAACTACACTGTCTTGTTTAAACTTGATCGCTTTAGTCATCGAACATTACTCGCATTGCAGTTAAGTAGGAGAATATAGTTGACAGATACTGAAACATTTATGATATCAAAGAAATATATTTTTATTTTCGCCAAATAATTATTATATGTGCATTTATCTTTGTTGCAATATGTATATTGCAAATGCATTTTGGCAAATTATCGAGAAATCTTAGCGATTGTTGAAGCTACTCTATATCTCACCGATGCGTAATAATGTAAAGATAGCGTAGGTAGACCGCAGGGCAACGCAACAATAATTGGTTTCTGGCTTCTTAAGATAACCATTTGCACGCTTTTCCTGAAATGATTTGATTCTTCGTACCAGTCCATTTCAAATGCTGCTTGCGCCATGCCGCTGCTCTAAAAAAAGATGTCATGAAATAAGGACATTCAGTTACGTCATTTTTTATAAATAATGGACTCACTGTATGAATTAAATGTTCGGCTGGCCACGTATACATAAATACCTCCATTAATCCGTTGAAGGCTAAGAAGACAAATTGAATTGTCAATAATAACGATGTTCCCTGTTTAGACACACAGATAAATAATTATATTACAATTCTGAATTTCTCTTCTCCATATGAGGAGTATGCAGAAACGCTAAGCGGATTTACGAAATTGTACTTACTGCAATGATAATAAGGCCGATTGTTATCAACGATAAAGTAGTAAAAAATACAGTTCCCAATGCAAAAGGACGAACTGTTAGAGCAATTTCCGTTGTGTATCTAGAATATTGTTATTTATATTATTATTTCATAATTTATAATTTGTTTCACGTGTATGCTGTTATTCCTGGGCTTATACCGGCCGGTTACTGGCTTAAATGAAGAAAGGATTAAAACTCTGGGAGATAATATCAGTCACAGTGTGAAGCAACGTGATATGTGATAGGCGTTATTCAGACTTTATTGTCACATCATCAGATTATCTCATCATCATGTTGTCACAGAGCTATTGAAATGTATATATAAAAGCTATTTTTAATTTATATATAAAATTTTTTCACAATGACTGATACTTTTCTCGAAAATATGTCAATCTTTTCCACTAAAAATATATGTGACGCGCGAGCGTAAACATAGTCAGTCAGAATTATCTTGACTCTAAGTGTAAAAGTAACGACATCATACTCGAGTAAATGTTGATGTTTCTCGATGCACTTAACGAAATCGTAGATGTTTGTTATTGTTCGCAAATTCTCAGTCAACAATCTGAATCTCGCAGATGCCAGCCAGAGCAGCAGTGCCATGAAAACATTGACCGAGAAATGCCCGGCTAATTGCAGGATTATGATAATTTGATGTACATATGTAATAACTCTCAGCGGTTGACGAGACTCATCGAACGGAAAATCGGCAGGTGTTGGGAGTGATTGGTCCTGCACAATAGGTCCCATTATCAAAGCAAAAAGAGCCACATACAACGAAACTATGCAAAAACCGTAAAAGCTGGCATATTTATCGATGTAATTTCGCTGGATAATCGCTTCTTCGTGAGGCTCGATTAGCGAACAAAAGTTCTCCATTTCGTACGTAACGCACTGCAATTCGTCGAAACATTAAAACAAAGTCGTATTGACTGAGGATGTGTGAAGAAGACAAGGAAAAAAAAAGGAATTGTGAAAGAGGGAAAAAGAGAGGGAGACATCTTTTATATATCTTTAAGAAACAATATCCATGTTAGTTACTTGTAAGCGTCGATAAATAATTACGTGGCACAAAATATTCCAAATAATGTGGATGCAAGGGAATACACCCAGAACTGATTTTACAAAGAGATTAAGGTCATACAGATTATTCACAACAGCGTACAACATTGATGCCATCCCGGTCACGATGAATATCATAGAGATGAGCTGATATAACTTCATGCACAGCATCTTGCCTGTACTAGCGTTCTTTGGCAGCGGCCAAAACCATATGAGAAATAGACTCAACTTTACGATGGCAATCACCTTCTTCAGTGTTACTTTCAGTTGCATAGTTACGCTGAATCGTTGTACAATAGTATCGTAGATGACTAATGTTTATCAGGAATCATTTTCCTCATTGTGTGCGGATAATCGACAATAGAAGAATTTGCGATGAGAAATACGAATTGAATACACGATACAGCGAGGTTTTATTTCATTCGAGAAGCTCTATACATCGTGTCATAAATTTTTATTCGACGCTGGATATATAGCGTAGATAATATTCGTGCAAAATGTGCGATGAAAATGGAAGCTTGAAAGGTCTAGAGTTAATATTTACTATCCTATTTCCCCTTGATATAAGTCAGACAGCGTGAGTTATAACGAATTAAATTAATGTATGCTTTTACAGACATGCTGAAATGTAAAACGTCAGTCGAACACAAGATAGCTCTGATAGTGTAGAATTTTCAACACCACTTATAATCTATAGTCTGAATGCAAGCGACAAGAGAGGTGAATAATTTAGCCGACGTTATTTGGAGATAATTTGCACTTGTTAAATTATTGTTTCAGAAGGTACACACTGAATAGTAAGACATCTATCGCCAACCTGAATATTGTAGAGATGAGTGGAAGGTGAGAAAGATATTTCCTTCATCTCGTGTTTACACCCACAATGTGTATTGCGCAAGCTTATACCAGGTTTGTAAATATGAAATCGGAATTTTTGTATAGAAAATACATGTTTATTGTATGAAAATGATAAAAAATATTTTATTCGAAGTATTGCCCATCGCCAGCTATATATTTTTCCCACCCTGTCTGACAATTTGTGGATGCCACGCCAAAAAACTGTTGCTCTTTTGAGGCAAACCCGTCATCGAGCCATTTTCGTACATTTTCGTAAGAAGTGAAGCGCTGCTCAGCAAGTGCGTGTCCCATCGATGCAAATAAGTAGTAATCGGACGGAGCCAAGTCTGGTGAGTAAGCCGCATGCGAAAGTATTTCCCAACTAAACGCCTCAATCGTTTCCTTGACCAGTTTTGCTGTGTGTGATGGTGCATTATCATGAAGCAAAATCACTTTGTGTTGTCTTTTTTGATATTCTGGTCGTTTTTCACGCAAAGCTTGATTCAAATCGATCATTTGTTGTCGGTAGCGTTCAGTATGAACGGTTTCGCCAGGTTTTAGCAGCTCATAATAGATCACACCCTTCTGATCCCACCAAACACAGAGTATTGTCTTCCGTCCATAGCGATTTAGCCTTGCAGTCGATGTCGATGGTTCGCCTGGAACCATCCACCCATGATCTTTTACGCTTAGGATTCTCAAAATATATCCACTTTTCATCGCCAGTCACAATTCGATGGAGAAATGACTTTCTTTTGTACCTAGCGAGCAGCATTTCTCAAGTGGTTTTTCGGTTTTCCTGCTGTCTTTCATTCAGTTCATGTGGAACCCATTTTCCCATCTTCTGGATCTTTCTCATGGCTTTCAAACGTATGGAGACGGCTTCTCGTGTCACATTTAATTGATCCGCGAGTTGTTGTTGCGTTTGAGCGTTATCCTCATCCAACAATGCTTGCAATTCGCTGTCTTCAAACTTTTCCGGTGGTCTTCCACGTTCTTCGTTTCTCACGTCAAAATCGCCACGTTTGAATTTTTTAGACCACTCAAAGCACTGTGATTTATCAAGAGCATGCTCACCGTAAGCTTCGACAAGCATTCGATGCGATTCTGCAGCAGTTTTCTTCAAATGGTAACAGAAAATCAATGCTGTCCGCAAATCGTAGCTTCCAGGCACAAAATTCGACATGTTCAACGCTATTACAAACTATGCTGTTGTATGAAACTTGTATTGTTGTGAGTTGAAAATCTTTATCAGATGTCAACAAATGGAAATGGCGCCAATGACGCGGTTTGACGGTAACTACATTGACAGCTAGGGCCATTTATGGGCAAATTCCGGTTTCATATTTACAGACCTGGTACAATACGAAATTTGCTGGCATAATCTATATATACCTTATCAAGTTACGAGATCTTACTAGAGAATTTTTACGGTAATATTTAATCTAAATAAGCTACCTATTTATAAGCTACTAATACAATAATTTAATAATTTATATGATACAGTGCAGAAAAAACTCTTCTTCATCAAAACTTATCGAAACTACACTCTTTTGTTTAAACTTGATCGTTTTGCTCTTCGAACATCATTCGCATTGTAGTGAAGTAGGAAAATATAGTTGATAAATACTGAAACATTTATGATATTAAAGAAATATATTTTTTTTCGCTAAATAATTATTATGTGTGCATTTATCTTTGTTGCAATATATAAAATGCAAATGTTGGCAAATTATCGAGAAATCAGTTGTCGAAGTCACGCAATAACTCACCGATGCGTAATAATGTAAAGATAGCGAAGGTAGACCACATGGCAACGCAACAATTATTGGTTTCTGGCTTCTTAATATAATTATTTGCACGTTCTTCCTGAAATTATCTGATTCATCGTACCAGTTCATTTCAAATGCTGCTTGCGCTATGTCACTGCTCTAAAAAAAGATGTTATGAAATAATGACATTATAATACATTGTTTACAAATAACGGACTCACTATGTGAATTAAATGTTCGGCTGGCCACGCATACATAAATACCTCCGATAATGCGCTGAAGGCTAAGAAGATAAATTGAATTTTCAGTGGTAACGATGCTCCCTGTTTAGACGCACAGATATGATAAGTAATTATATTACAATTCTGAATGACAATTTCTCTTCTCGATATCGGGAATATACAGAAACGCTAGATAAATCTACGAAATTGTACTTACTGCAATCATAATAAGACCAAATACTATCAACGACACGGTACTAAAAAACACAGTTCCCAATGCAAAAGGACGGACTGTAAGAGCAATTTCCCTTGCGTATCTAAGATATTGTTATTTATATTATTGTTTCATAATTTGGTATTTTGTTTCACGTGTATGCTGTTATTTGCGGGCTATGTTTAGTTATGGGCACTTATGGGCAAAAACGTTAACTGAATACTTTGCATATGAAGCTTCTCAACGAGCATGTTATTATAGTAAATGATATCCAGCTTTCATAAATTTACACGAATGAAACGTAGAAAATATACGTATACATTTGTAACATAATAAAATACTGAAAACAGCATTCCTGTCAATGCGGTGAAATGTCTAATACAAAGCGCCAAAAATATAACTATATATTTGTATATATGCTAGGAAATTTGAGAAACTAGCGAAATGTTACTGGTTTAAATGAAGAAGAGATTGGAACTCTGGGAGATGGTGTCAGTCACAGTGAGAAACAAAGCTTACGTGATAGACTCAGATATTTATTATCACATCATCAGATTATCTTATCATCACGTTGTCACAGACCTCTTGAAATTTATATATAAAAGCTATTTTTAATTTATATATAAAATTTTTTCACGATGACTGATACTCTCCACGAAAATATATCAATCTTTTCCTCTGAAAATACATAAATATAATAAATATATTATATATAATATAAATATAATATAAATATACTGAAAATATAAATATAGTAGCGGGCGAGCGTAATGTAATCAGTCAGAATCACCTTGGCCCCCTAAGTGTAAAAGTAACGACATCATACTTAAGTAAATGTTGATGTTTCTCGATGCACTTTATGAAATCGTAGATATTCGTGATTGCTCGTATATCCTCGGTCAACAATTTAAATCTCGCAGATGTCAGCCAGAGCAGCAGTGCCATGAAAGCGTTGACTGACAACTGCGCGGCTATTTGCAACCCCACGACAATTTGATGTACGTATGTAATAGCTCTCAGCGGTTGACGAGACGCGTCGAACGGAAAATCGGCAAGTACTGGGAGTGGCTGGTCCAACACAATAGGCCCCGCGAACAGAGCAAAAAGAGTCATGTAGAACGAAGCTATGCAAAGGCCGTAAAAGCTAGCATATTTATCGATGTAATTTCGCTGAACAATCGCTTCTTCGTGAGGCTCGATTAGCGAGCAAAAGTTCTCCATTTCGGACGTAACGCACTGCAATCCGTCAAAGCATTAAAATAAAGTCGTATTGACTGAAGATGTTTGAAGAAGTCAAAGAAGAAGAAAAGGAAGAGAGAATGAGAGAAAAGGAGAGGACAACAACTTTTATATATTTAAAAAAACAATATTTATGTTAGTTACTTGTAAGCGTTGATAAATAATTACGTGGCACAAAATATTCCAAAGAACGTGGCTGCAAGGGAATAGACCCAGAGCAGATTGTACAGCGAGATTTGGGTCATTTAGATTTTTCACCAGAGCATATAATATTGATGATATCACGGACACGGTGAGTGTCGCAGAGACGAACTGATACAACTTCATACACCGCATCTTGCATGTACTAACGTTCTGTGGCAACGGCCAAAACCATATTACAAATAGACTCAATTTCACGATGTCAATCACCCTTTTCAACGTTACTTTCGCTTGCATGATTACGCTGAGTCGATGCACAATAGTATCGTAGACTACTACTGTTTATCAGGAATTATTTTTCGCATTGTGTGCGGACAATCAACGATGCAAGAATTTGCGATGAGAAAAATATCATCAGAATTGAATACACGATACAACGTGGTTTTACTCGAGAAACTCTACACATCGTGCCATAAATTTTTATTCGATGCTGGATATACAGTGTAGATAATATTTGTATAAAATATACGATGAAAATGGGAGCTTGAAAGGTCTAGAGTTAATATTTATTATTCCGCTTCTCTCGTTGGTATAAGTCGGACCGTACGCGTGAGTTGTGACGAATTAAATTAATGTATGCTTTTGCAATCTTGCTGAAATATAAAACGTTAGTCCAAGTAACATAAGATAGCTCTCATAATATAGAATTCTCAACGCCATTCATAGTGTATAGTCTGAATGCAGGGAATGAAGAGAGGTGAATAATTTATCTGACATTATTTCAAGATAATCTGTAACTGTTAAGTTATCGTTTCAGAAGGTACACACTGAATAGTAAGCCATTCTATCGCCAACCGGAATATTGTAGAGATGAGTGGAAGGTGAGGAAGATATTTCTTTCAACTCGTTTTTACACCCACAGTGTGTATTGCGTAAGTTTATATAATACGAAATTTGCTGATGGTTTTGCTACAAATATTTTGTTGTGTTTAAACGGATAATCTGTTCAATTATTGTGCATGATGATTTTAATTTTTGAAACTAAATTCTAATTACAAGCTTCTACATTTTTATTTTTTCTTTTTCATTTCGACATGGAATACCTTATTAGAATGTAAAGAGCTTTTTCTCGTTAAAACCTTATCAATTATTTTTTTCATTCGAACATTGTGCGTAACATGGTGAAGTAAGAGGTTATAGTTGAAAGATACTGAAATATTAATCATGTCTTGCAGAAAAATAGCTTTTTTCTACGTATTTAATATATTTATCAGCTGTCTCATTTATTCTATTCGATATATTTTTGTCATTTTCTATTTTATATATAATATGTATGAGAAAATGAGGTTTTTAAACAGACGAAAAAATGGCACGTGGGTTTACGTGAAGTGAAAAATCTGTCGAGTAAGGACTCATAATCGCGTAATAATTTAAGGATACAGATAATCGCATTGTAATTTATTCGTTTTCGGTATACTTATAATGTAAATCAAAGTTCAACTGGCTGCGCATACATAAATATTTTAAACAATGCACTCATGCCTAAATAAATATCTGCCAAAAATTTCTTATGTATTTTTAATGTTAATGGTAACCCTCGTATTTAAACAAATATATACATTTTTTATCGTTTTCACAATGATTATTATACAGCAACGTATTATTTATAGAAGCACTAAGAACCATTATGTTCGCTGCCAAAGTAAATTTTAATATTGATAATGAATTTGTAATAAAAGTCGAATAGTTAATATAATAATCAGGTATATCGTGTGTCGCGTACTTATTATAATTAATTAAAGAGTAGAGCTATATAAAATGATAATGTGCTCGCGAGTGTTGATCTCATCGTTTTAACATATTTATGTGTAATTCACTCAGAAAAATTCGGTATTACGATTTTTCCGTTAATATTTAAATGTTTCGTAGCTTGCTTTTTACATATTTCTCACATAACATTTTGATCATACGCCATTATAATTAGGACATTTACAAAAGATACTACCGAATTATGCTCGCTATAATGCAAATGAGGTCGCATATGATTAAGCTAACAGTAGCGAGCACAGACGGCCAGTTGCAAAAAGACTAAGAGTTACTTGTTTCGCATATTCAGAGAATTACATTACCTAACTACAAAATATTGCATTACATTACACAATTAGAAAATGTGCGGAATTTGATTTCGGAAATTATTGAATGAGATGCAAACTGCAATTATAGTTTTATTGGCGGTCTCTGTTGATTGTGTTAAAGATGCATGTAATAATGATTTATTCGAGTAATTTTCTTATGTTTTCTAATGCATTCTATGAAGTCATAAATGTTCGTTATTTGTCGAAATTCCTCGTTTAGCGGTCGAAATTTTGCCGATAACAACCGCGGCAAAATGTCGGAACTGAATGCGTCGTACAGCACTGTTTTACTCGACAAATTTTACCATGCATTGTCTTCTAAATTTTTCTTACATGTTGGGAACTGTCCTCTTGGAGTATCATTACAAGTAAACAATGAGTGAAAGCGCGGAAAGACTACAATCGTTACTCATTATGTTGCTTAATACACGTTCCCCTTTGAGATGTAAAATTTCTCCCCATAGTCGTACACTCATACGGTCTATAGTATAAAATTAAGTGGAGCAATGAATAATTTAGCCGACGTTTCAGAATTTAAACATAATAATTGTAATATTATCGCTAGCCGGTAGCTCTTGCTTGCCGACGGAAGGTTTTACGGTAAACTGAAACCTTGTGAGGCAATAATTATGAAGTGAAGATAACATTTTCCTGTAATTCATGCGCACGCAAGATACGAATTTTATTAGACATTTGTAGTTGGATATGTAGAAATTAATCTTATGATTTAAGGTTTAAAATATTCTCGTCGAACTTCGTCACTGGAGATACCTTAAGGTTAACCAAGACGTTTGGTTAACGTTTACAAGTCCTAACTTTTGTCTTATTTATATGGAAAACGTGTCTTCTGCTACGTAGTTTTTTTTTTATTTTTTTTACTGTTTTAAATCTACTAATAATACTGCAAGATGCAACTTAACATATTACTCAACACGATATTACTTTTTCTATATTCCTTTAAAATGTACAAATCGCGATTTTGCGCATCACGATGTGTGTCGCAAAGTTCTCACACGTAATTTGTTTACTCGGTAACATAAAAAGCAGCTAACTATCCAGCGAGCATTTTTTAATAATGTTTAATGTATTAATTTGTTATCGAAATATGCTTACTGTACAATAGTGCTTATATTTAAATATTCCCGAGAATTACAACGAATAACCATTCACTACTATCCGCTGCGAGTTACGGTAGTCCGATGCAGCCTTATGATAAAGCGTTATCAATCTTATCATCAGTTAATACGTCGGATATCGTGCAATCCACGCGTTGATTTCTAACAATGGAAAACAAACTGATAACTATCGCAGTATCACAATCACCCGATCGTCAAAAGCGACTTGTCACCGCACTCGCATCGCAACATGATAATTTGACAAAAGCAACTGTTAAAATGTTTTTCATACCCGAAAACATTATTTGTTCTGCAACAGGTGCCACACATACGACGGATTATACGAGAACGGCCGGCAAGTTATCGCGGCCTTTTACCCTGCGACCGATCGAGAGTGAATCGAGCGAGTGCTGGGATAATTAATATTTGCGTTTGATAATTAATTCGCATTGTCCCAACCATTCTCGGCTAATCCGCGACGATTCACGAGCTTTCGGTGGCAAAAGTTCCGAAAACACGTTGCCGAGTTTGCAACTGACGTGGCGGTTAGTCTGCTAATGCAAGCGCGAATCTTAACGCGATGCACCATCTTCTCTTCTCCCGCGCGCGCGCGCGTGCGAACGACAAAGTACTCCCAGCTTCCGCAACTTCGACTCATAACGAGTCCTACTAATTAGTGCGTCGTCTCGCTACCGTGTACTATCCCGTTGTGATTTCATTCCGGGCGCCGCCGCCGCTCCAACTTACGACGCGGGCGTAATGGATTCGCGCGACGAGTGCCCTCGAAATTCCCCAGTAAGCTCTTTCGCAGAACGTAAAACCCGACTGCCTCATGCCTTAAAGAAGCGTTCCGAATTTGCAATGCACTGAGAGAGCGTCGTTCGTCTCGCGCGCGGGTGTGAACGTTGGTTTGGTGCGCCGAGCATTTCTGATCATAACCCGTGAAAGTTCGAGACCGTATTAAACTTTATATTGCCGTTCGCCGAGAGGAGGAGCCTTATACATGGCTTTATACTGCTTCGCGTCCACGTTGCGACACGAATTTACGGGCGACGTTTCGTTACGGTCAGGACGCGCTGAATCTTCCTTTCTTCTTTTTTCTGCTTTCTTTCTTTCGACTGCACCGTGACTACAGCTTTATCATTGCCACCTGACCGCCACTGCGGAGTTTCGTTTTAGCATCGAGACCACCGACTGGGATTGGATTTCTAATTTTGCCGGTATCGCACAACGAAGGGCGTCAGTCTTTCCCTTGTCGCGGATATTCTGCACTTGTAGAAATATTTTATACTCGGCCTGTGTGCCGCAAGTATTATTCGCTGCGAACTCCAAGGATCAGAGAGGTCCTGGGATCCGAAGATTGCTGGTTTTCAGTGTTAAACGTGCAAAAGAGGATTATCGTTGAAAGGTTTTGATGCCCCAAACTGCGCCCAGACAGTTATTTGATGGGCAAACTCTGTTATCGAACGCAGTTGTAATTAAAAATTTTATTTGGCCTCCGGTTAAAAGTCAATTTCGGCGAATATTTGAAACGCGTCTATCGCATAGCGTTCTCCGATACAATCGATGAGAGGCTTTATCACCGATTACATTTTGGTTCATACGACCAGCGATCCCGTTAGTTTCGATTGCTTTCGGCCGGTGTAATAACACGA